AATAATCACTTGAAATTTATCCCGTAAACACTAAGCGATTGGCCTTGCGACTTGTTATTGCGAACGCAAGGCAAACTGGAAATTGCAATCATTTGAAGTCAAACGGAAGACCAGTCAGAATCATTGGCATGTCACCAAATCGCCAGCATTTTTTTATTGAATGGTGAAATTAGAGCGTGTACATCATTATTCTTTGTGGCAAGTATTGTCTCGTGACTTAACCAAGCATAATTCTGATAATTCTCACTAATGTCATTACTCGAATTTTAATTACGGTGCGTGAAGTTCCAGCAGCTTGCATTAAGGCACGATGCCATGCACAACTAATTTTCCTTCCCCGCCGAGCCCTTACCTTTCCAACGAATGCAAAATGTCGAAATCGGTTTGTGCGTTCCGGAGTTATATCGTCAAGAAGGAAAACCGACTTATTTTTAATATATGTGAATATGTAGATAATCTATTTGAAATTATTTAAAACAATTGTTGATATTTTTATTTACTCGAATTTTTAATTACGGTGCGCGAAGTTTCAGCAATTTGCATTAGGGCACGATGTCATGCGCTACTAATTTTCTTAGCTATAAACCTTGCGGAGCCCGAGACCTAAATTGTCGAAATCAGTTCGTGCGTTCTGGAGTTATTTCGTCAGAAGGAAAACCCGACTTATTTTATTATATATAAAGATAATAATATTTTAAGTAAATTATGTCTATTTGTAATGTATATCTAGTTTTAACCTTCGGAATATGCCCAACTTTTCGTGTTGAATTATTAATATATTGAAAAAGCATATCACAATTAAATTACAATTAGTTAGTAATGAACGCCAATCATTCTTATATAAAACATTTTTCTTGTTTTAGTGTCGAAAATTGCTTTTGCACCAGGCGGCTTAATCCAACTTCTACTGATTTGAGACTATAAAAATTGTGAATAACCTAAAAAATGCAAACAGAAGACGTCTTTCTCCTGAAAAATGCTTTAATACATTTTCAATGTGATTATTTAGTTTCAAAAATAATTTTTTTTCAGAGAAAGTTCAACAATAAATCGAGGACTTTGAATCTTTTACAGGGCGTACCTACCGGTGTATCAATTATACGGGGCATATTTATTTTAAATTTATGCTAGTATTTTGTAATTAGTGAGAAATCTTCACTTGATATCAAAATATATAATATTTCAAGTTACCGAATCTGTTGAAAGATGGAACTACATAAAATAACACTCTTAGAATCGTAAGCAATTGAGAGTTGATGATTCAGAGTGATAAATGTACTAAGTTTGTGTATCAATGAAAAAGGTAGATAATTGTGATATAAAATCTTATTTATATATTTTGGGGCAAATTAAAAAAAAAATACAAAGGTATGTCTTGACACTCAGTTTTAGCAAAAAAGTATATTATTATTAGTAAGAGTAATCAGGAATTGTGTTCAAATTCAAGGAATTAATTGAAGTATTGAAGATGTTATATAATCGTATCAAACTTTATTGTTAGTAAACTAACTAAACATTACTTTAAATTATACTTAATCACCCACGCAGTTAGATGTATAATAGCCATAATATAATTAAATTGATATTTTTACTGAATATTGCGATTTTAGAAATGATAACTTATTTTAAGACTTTATACGAAATCACATGAATGTATTGCGAGACAGTGATTTTAAATACAACATAAATTTAGGCATCAGAAAATAGGAAATTATAACACTGAAAATGTATTTAATGAATTCTGATAGTTTAATTATCCATTTTCTATTATTTCATAAGTTTTATTGTATATAAGTAAAAAATTTGTGATAAATTGCAAAATCATCTTTGTTTAAAATCGTTATATTTTTATTGTGGGCAAAATACATTGATGCTTGTGTTTTCAAAGGGGTATCTCCTTGACTTATTGGTTAGAGCTATGGGTCTTCATTCAGAGGTTTTATTCCCGCTTGAAAATATAAATATTAGTATGAAAAACCCAAATGCCATCAATATTAGAATTTTTAACTTCTCGTAGGGTAAGTTACAGTAATCGTCCAAAAATCTTTGCAAAATTTTTAGCATATCTTCACGCATTAGAGGTTTATGAACATTTTGGCATACCTCATCGTAAAAAAAAATTCATGTGTGTGTATATAATAAGTGTATATGAATAGATACAATTTTTCGTCCACGTTTTCGGGATCACGGATCAACCGATTTGAATATTCAAAAAGTATTCGATTTATTGATAAGGAGATTCAATAAACATTCAATTCGTAATGATGAGAAGATGTGGGGATTGGTTTAAGTGACAGTTTTGGAAAGACATCTGTTTCAGAGAGAATTAGCTAAATTGTAAAAAGTTGCAGTTTTTGAAAGTAAAAGCAACCGATGTGAATAATTTTAATAACATTTTGCTTGAAAAAAAAAATTATTTAGTGAGACAAACAAATATTATTCTAAAATTTCAATAAATCTTATTTTTTCGAAAAATAATTCAGATTTTAATTTTAATTCTTGCTATACCTTCTATATACTTCAAATTAAATTTTAACTTTGCAATTCAATTCATATAATTCTTAGAAATATGAGATAAGTTTCTTCATTCTTACTTCGCTTTATTAAGTTTTGTTTATTTACTTCTTATGTTAACACGTGTAAACGTTGTCCAATTTATAAGCTCTTATATTTTGTTTATAAAATACGAATAATGAAATTTTCAGTATTTTTAATAATCTCTTGGAAAATATTTAATATTCTTTGAATATTTCATTACAATACGGAAAAATCCAGCAATTTGCCTTAAGGCACAATGCGATGCACCACTAGTTATTAATAATTTCAACAATACGGGATGGACAACCGTTGCCATCTGTATTGACATCATTAAGAAGTCATCACATAGCTCATAGAACTCGTTAAGTTTTCATTGCTGTTGATAAAACAGAAAAATATTTTCAAAGATTTCCAAAATCCCTTTGTTTCCGAATGTTATGTATATACAGTCGTTTCTGTTCGAGTTGAATAAGAATAAGTGTACGGTGGTCCGCCAAATCGTATACGGCTGGTCGAGTTGCGGACGTGAACCTTCGCAAACGATCGCACCACCCTGTCTCGTCAGAGGTTCCAGCAGGAGTGAAGCGATCAAGCCGGTTCCGATATTACGTGACTCGATTTGGAAATGATCTTCTTCCGTGTAGATAAGGAGCTGAAAATTTTTACTTACTTGATTAATCAAAATATGAGAAAATATGCCGAAAATTATTATAAACGATTTAAATTTTAAAATTTTAATCAATGCTTTTCGACCATTCAATTTATTTTTTGCAATGGTCAATACAATTTTTGGTCAATATTTTGTTTTTGTGGAGTAGTATAATTAAATGAAAAAATAATTATTAATTGATGCTTGTGATTGTTCTGTTTGTGTTTTTATGTAGTTGTTTGATATAGTTCCCTTAAAGTGAGAGTGAAGATGTCATTTTTAGACTTGTTTTGTTTAATTCAATGCAAATGACATCTTACATTAACTTCCCGTAGGGTAAGCTATTGTAATGGGCCGAAAATAGAAATTGAAAATTTTTACATTTCTCGACGTTTTGAAGGTTTCTGAACATTTTGGCATACCTCAGAAAAAATGGATGTGTGTGTGTGTATGTATGTATGGATACAATTTTTCGTCCACGTTTTCGGGCGCACGAATCAACCGATTTGAATGGTTCAAAAAATATTCGATTCCTATTGATAGGGAGATGTGCTGATTAGTTTTTGGCAAAGGCGGGTCCAGCAGTTACGGAGATACGGAGCAAAGAGTGCAGAAAATAGGAACCGAGTTTTTGAGTGAACGGAGCATCCGATTTAAATGATCTAAAAACATTCAATTAGTAATAATTGGGAGAAGTGATTATTAGTTTTTGGCAATCGCAGGCCCAGACATTTCGAAGATACAGAGCTATATGTGCAAAAATGGCAGTTTTTGAGAGAACTAAGCGTCCAATTTAAATGATTCAAAGAACTTTCAGCTTGTTTTAACAAAATAATTGATTTTGGTAAAAAAAATTTGTATCATTTTTTTTTAGTTTTTTTGTATATCGAAAATAATTCAAATTTTATTTTTTAATTCTGACTAAAGTTCTAATATACTTTAAACAAATAATTTTAACTTTCCAATTCAGTTTTTACAGTTCTAATAAATATTAGACAATGTTACAATATTTATAATAATCTATTTGAAAACATTCAGTATTCCTCGAACATTTCGTTACGGTACGGGAAGTTCCAGCAATTTGCCTTAAAGCACGATGCCATACACCCCACTAGTTTAATTTTTTGTTCGTTTAATTTTATTCCAATTAAATTAATATGTTTTTATAAATCTTGCTTATTTTTGAAACACATAACAAATCATGTAAGATTACTGATATTTTAACTAGTTTAGATTTAATGTTTCCTAGATATTTTTAATATATGTTAAAAATGCATATGTATGTTATTTTCTTTTCTGTATTTTTATGTTTTATTTTATTATCAAATTTCTATTTTGAATAATTTGGCAATAGTATCTCAAACGTTTGAAGTTATGCCTTCATCAAATTAAAATATATTTATAATAGTAATCTAAGTTAACAGAATCGAAGTTTTTCAAAAACTTTGATAGCAACCCATCTAGACGGAACTCTTAGCAAACGAATCTTTTACCTTTGCTTTTTTAAAATTATTATATAATATTCAATGCAAATAATGTGACTGAGAAAATTTAATTTAAAATTTGTTAACATAGATTTTTTAACACATTGAATACCGATAATTAAATTGATTTTTTTGTCTTTAATAGCACATGGTCAATAATGTCATTGCGCGCAGGCAATATCTATGCATAATAGTTTTATTTATCTAATAAATGTGTATAATTAGATATAGAAATGATATACATTATATTACAATAAAAATGATTATCTTTTCTTCTGTAAATTTTTTCTCATAAAAAGTTTATCAGAGATCTAACTATCTATTCCGAAGCCGATTCTAGTGTGTATCTTGTATCGTAAATGTTTAGCAAAACTTTGTAAAAATATCCAACGCCAATACTGCAGATAAATAGGGAATTGCGATACGTTTCTCTAAACCGAGTTAACTTTACTTCTGGTTCGTTCTGTTCGAACTTGGGCATCGGTTTAGTTTTTGTGTTCTCAATTTCATACAAAGTCCATATATAGTCCAACGGGAATTTTGAAAATCTTTTATGTATGTAAACGCTGTTAGAAGTTTGATAGAAATGATTGTACGCCATGCTGAACGATGTTTGATTCGAAAATGTGAATCATGGTGATTTTTATTTGCTGAACATATTTTTCTTCGGCAAAATATATAAATTTTATACAAAACTCTGAGTTTATGTTGAAAATTGACGTAGTTAACTACATAATTGTGTCATATTTTTAAATTTTATCTATTTTAATTTTATATTAAAGTTTTGTGTTCATTGCATAATTATAAAACAATGTTTATATTTTTAGTGTTTCATGATATGAATTGCTGAATGATGACATGCATATGATGTCAAAACGTACACAATAAATAATATAAGTATTTATCAAGAATATGTTTGAACATCGAATAAATAAATTTAAAGTATAAATTGAACTCAATATGTACACAATGATACGTTTGTGCATACTAATTTGTATTGTTCGGTGTTGATATCATTAACTACCCCAAGATGAATTTATGTTTTTGCGAGAAAATCCAATTTGCTAATTTTATATATTCTCGACGTTTCTAGCCATTCTGAATTAAACGAGACTAAAGGAACTAGTATGTGTGTGTGTATGTGTGAACCGATTTTTGACTTTTTGTGGACGTTTTCTCGAAAATAACTCTTGTAAACAAATTTATCAGCTCTTATGGTTCATCATGAGTCTTTGTGAGTTACATTTCAATTCTGAAAATTTAATTATCATAATATAATTTTGACTTTGAGTTGTAACTATGATATTTGAAACAATATTTTGACAACTCTTTACTGGACATTATTGCATCCAATAAAAAGTCATCAACATTAGAATTTTTAATAATGAATTGATCTAAAAGGTTTTCATCATAACATAACCTTGCCATACTATTGGTGTATTTGGAAATACCACCTCAAACTTTTGAAGTTATTCCTTAATTTTCTATTTTATAGCACCCAGAAATAAGTTGAAATATAATTAATATAAATTCAAATTAAAAGGGCCGAAATTTCTCAAACACTATGAAAACAACCAATTTAGTCGGAACTATGAATTTTCGTTTTCTATGAATTACCAGTAAGAGCTATAAGCTTCCAACCATGCAGAAGGTTGCAGTTTCGATACCGGATTCTGACAGCCTGATGTCAAGCAGTA